TTGTCTCCTGAGGAGGTTTCCTGTTTCCTGTTTCCTGAGGAGGTTCTTTTGTATGTGGATTGGCTGTTGAAATTCTAAACCTTACCTGTAGTGCGATTGTCAGATGTAGAGCCTTTTGTGTTTTTCAGGACAGGAAACCATGCCCTATTTATTTTTAAACTCTCCTGTTGAAGTTGTGTTTATGTTTATGAATTTCAATGGCTTCCCTGTGTAATCTGACATGGTAATTGGAAGTGTTGTCTAGCCTTTCAGTGTCTTGGAACAAAATACTGTGTCCTGTTTGAGTTAGACTATGTTCAGCCACTGCTGATTTTTCAGGTTGGCCAAGTCTGCAGTGTCTTTCATGTTCTTTTATTCTTGTCTGAATGCTACGCTGTGTGGTCCCGATGTAAACTTGTCCACAACTGTATGGTATGCGGTATACTCCTGCAGAAGTGAGGGGGTCTCTTCTGTCTTTTGCCGATCGTAGAATCTGTTGTATTTTTCTGGTGGGTCTGAATACTATTTGTAGGTTGTGTTTTTTCATAAGTTTTCCCATCTGATCAGTGATTCCTTTGATATACGGCAAAAACACTTTCCCTGTGGGAGGCTGTTTTTCCTCAGTTGTTTGTTTTAGCTTTGGTTTAATCGCTCTTCTGATTACATTCTTGGAGTAGCCATTGCTTGAAGCGCGTGATTTAGATGATTTAGTTCATAATTGAGAAAGTGAGGTTACATTACAAGAACCAACCAGAATCACACAAAACAGCAAAGAAACATTTGTTCAAAGAACAGTTCAAGATCAAACCAGAACACACAAAGTTTTTTTAAAAAGCCAATCAAGAAGCCACAAAAATACATACAAGCCAAAAGTTTTTTTAAAAAACCAAAACCAAAATAGCTTTAAAGAAACGAAAAGCATTTTAAAACCTAGAAGAACCACTTCCACAATTATGAAAGGCAACAAAAATACTTAAAAGACATTAAAAACAGAATCCTTTAAATAAAACAAAAAGAAATCTAAGCATCTCAAGAAACAGCGAAGAAACAGCTTATAAAAGAACAGATTTAAGAATCCAGCCACCAACCCCAAAACTAAACAATAGTAAAGAAAAAATCTGCATGACACAGTATTTTCCCCACCCACCTAACTCCAGAGAACATAAATATGTTCTCTACAAAAGCAGTCCACAGGGGTGGGGTGGGGTGGGGTGGGGAGAAGGAAGAAAGCCTAACTAACTGAAAGAGGGAGGAAATGCAGAAAGCAACAAAAGACATCCTGAATTTTTGGGGATTCCTGAAAAAGTTGAAGGGGGTGGGGCTCAGTTCTGGAATCCTGAATTTTTGGGGGATGTACCTTTGCCATTTCTGTTAATCCCATATTGCCCTGAAATAGCTTGCTTTATTCCTCAACATGGACCTAAAGCTGCTATAACAGGTCCCCTATTCCATTTTATCCCATCAACAATAAGCTGAAGAAGAGCAGACCCTTTATGTCTCTGTAAGTTAATCAGTTCAAAAGAGATGTGGCGCAAGTGTGTAGTCCCATGGGAAAGTGCTTTTCTTCCATTAGTGTCACATTTCAATGAGGTCCAGCTCTATGCCTTACCTTTACATACTGGTATACCATATAAAACAAGACTCACCTACAGGCTCCACAGATTCCACATGATCCACAAAATCTCGCCTCCCCAGGTAAATGGTTAACTGGGTACCCCAAAAGAGGTAGAAACAAACAGAAAATGAACTATGTTACTGCTTGCTATATCTTTTAAGGTTGTGTCAACAATTTGTTTCATTTATATGTCACAAGGAAATCAACTCTACCAATTGGCTCTGCTCCATTTCTGAATTTAATTTCAGAGATATGAAGCAACTTCCTGAGATGGACTTTCTCCCAGTAGATTGGCTCATAAGTAAGCACCACCGCCTCTAGGCCGGGAATGTATGTGGCTATCATCATATCACTCTTAAAACAGCCCAGATATGTCGTAAACCCTCCAAAGGCCAACCTAAAGAATTCAGCTTTGCATACTCTGTGGAAACTAAGCAAGCCCAGCAGGGCACGTGTGTTATCTGACAGTGCATTCCACTGAATAGTTGCCACAACTAAGAAGGCTCTTCCCCTGATGACAGCTAACCAAGCCATCCTGGGGCCAGGCACCTGCAAGATGCCCCTAAATGATAACCAAAGGGAGGGCAGGGGTTGCATCAGGAGAGGCTGTCCCATAAGTATGAGGGACCCAGACCATTGAGGGCTTTGAAGGTTAACATTGAATTGGATCAAGAGATTAATTGGTAGCCAATGCAGCTGCCACAGAACTGTAGTAATATGAGCTGACCATGATGTTCCAGTCAGTAACCTGGCAGCTGCATTCTGGACCACCTGCAGTTTCTGAAGTGTTTTCAAGAGTAGCCCTACATAGAGCAAGTTGCAGTAGTCCAATCTGGAGGTGACCATTGCATAGTAAAGTCTGACCCAGACAAATAAGGGGCCAGCTGGTGGGTCTGGTGGAGGTGAAAAAACGCTGACCCACACAACCATGGACACTTGTTCATCCAATGACAGCGCAGAATGCAACCACACCCCAAGGCTCTTTACAAAGTCTACATCTGTCAACTGGACACCATCGAGTCTTGGGAGTGATCCTCCAGCTAGCATTTCAGTCTTTCCCAGACACATAACCTCTGTCTTGGATGGATTAGTCTTCAGCCAGCTCCCACTTGACCATTGGACTACCGCATCCAGACACTGGGATAGTGCCAAGAGTCCTGCCACCAGCTGCTATTCCAGCAGGAGGAAGAACTGAATGTCTTCAGCATATTGATGGCACCAAACTCCAAACCTCCTGATGTTCTTGGCAAGACGGTGCATATATATGGTAAATAACATCAGGGAGAGGACTGGACCCTATGGGACCCCACAATTCAGGTTTTGTCAAGTAGACCTCTCCTCCCCTATAGTGACCCTCTGAGAGCGTCCATGGAGGAACGAGGAGAACCAACCAAGGGCAGTGCCCCTTATCCCTGATGAGGCAAGGCAATCGGTCAGGATCAAATGGTCAACTATATCAAAGGCCACAGATAATTGCCCAGCTCCTTTTTATCTAAGGAGGGTTTCTTTAACAAATGTCTAGCAAATGTCCTTAAGGGAGCTGGGAAAACAGCCCTGTGAAAGAGATAAATTTGTAATCTGTCTCAAAGTGCCACTCTTCACTTCATGGCATGATTTTACCAGCCATGAGGGACAAGGATCCAAGGAGCAGGTTGTCAGGATCCTGTTAACATCTTCAAGGGTAAGCAAGCCGAAAGAGTCCAAAAAAGAACCAGAGAGTGCAAGCGGAGCCCCTGTCCCACTACGGTTATCAAATTCAGAAGCCAACTCCAGGCGGAGTTTAGAGCCTTTATCTGCAAAAAAGTTTGCAAATGAATCACAGCTGAGAGCCAAATCAGGATGAGTTTTGGGATGCACCAAAGGGGTGGTCATCAAACCAATCTGAGTAACTGAGTTGGTTGCGAGCTAGCAGACAAAACGGAGGCAATTAAATAATCTCTTTTTGGCACTTCACTGCTACCTCATAGGCCTTTAGTTGGGCTCTATAGTGTGTTTTCACAGCTTCGTCCCGTGTTTGTCGCCAATTCCACTTTAGCCATCTGAGCAACCACTGAAGATCTCCTAGGCTCCCATTATTCCAAGGAGCCACGAGGGCACAGAGGACATCAGGGAGCAATTGACAGCTTCCTGAAGACCTCTATTCCAAATCTCAGCTCCTCAAGGGAACTGCTGGCAGGTCCAGATAAATTTTGCAAAGCATTTTGGAAACGATCAGGATCCATTAGTCACTGTGGGAAAGCATAAATACACAAATTGGCCATCCCCAAGCTGACCCTTAAGAGGAAGTGGTCTGACCCTGGCATTGGTTCACAAACAACCTCACTATTCATTTTTATTTATTTTATTTTATTTATTTATTAAATTTATATCCCGCCCTCCCCCGTAGGGCTCAGGGCGGCTTACATATTCAGATCAAGCCCTGTGCAAAAGATCAAATCTAGTGTGTGGCCTGCTTCGTGCATGGGGGTCGATACAACCTGGGAGAGTCCCAGTGTTGCCATGGCAGCCACGAAGTCTGAGGCTGCACGAAGTAAGGAAGTGTCTGCATGGATGTTAAAGTCCTCCGAGACCAACAGTCTAGGGAAACACAGTGTCCATTCAGATACTGCCTCTGATTATAGCCTCAGAAGAAAGTCCACTGGTGACTAGGGCAAATGGTACATAAGCAGCACCCACTGACAACCAACCCCAAGCCAGGCCAACACATTCAAAGCAAGTGATATTTGGTGCAAGAATCCTCTGGAAGGGAGAGCAATCTCAGATGAGGATCATGACTTTGCCCACCCGCCCCTCAATTCGATGTCAATGGAGAATTGAGTATCCTGGGAGAGTAAGCTGGGTGGGTGAAACAACCTCATCCTCACCCACCCAGATCTCGGTCAAGACGTAATAATGCACCCCTTCATGTGTATATTATTCTGTGTTTATATAGTACACTGCATACTTACTTTGCCATTGGGAGAGGTCTTCTTAAAAACTCTAAAAACAAATCAAGAAGGAAATAAAGACTTGGAGAAAAATTAGCAGCTCAGACTTTTTGCAAGGTATTATACTGTCAGTTTTCCGTTGCAGTGAAATGATGCTACATATGTCAAGTAATTACAATGCAGGAAGTTTGACTTTCACTCTGCCCATGCTCAGAGGCAAGTCCAACATACCTTTCCCAGGTAGGCTACAGACAAATCTCTAAATTTAGTTAGAAGAAAGACAATTGTCGATGTGTTAAGAACAAATAAGCCTTTGTCTCAGTTCTGAAACAGAGCAAGTTTTCAAATGTAAGCATATTTCAATAAAGTACCTGGGTCCCTTCTGAGGGCACATCCCCCTTGTCCACAGCACAGTGCCCTGTTTCCTCTTGACCCTCATGCTCCCTGACAGCAGCGGGGCTGCCATATTCAGAGTGGCTGCCATATTCTCACCTTATGAAACACATAGATGAGTTCCCAAATTATAACAAAAAATAAGACAGAGGCTCGGCTGGAACCCAAATATGAGTGCAGCTGTGATACACCACCAACCATATGTGGTTAGGCAAGGAACATTGCAAAGACAGACATGGCCAAGTGGAAAGTCAATGGGATAGCAGGGCTAGTCTCCACATGAGGAAAAGCCTGGTAATATCCCTGCACACAAACTGGAAAATGGGGGAGAAGAAGAGAAGAGATTGGATTTATACCTCACCCTTCACTACCCAAAGGAGTCTCAGAGTGGCTTACAATCCCTTTCCCTTCCCCTCCTCACAACAGACACCCTGTGAAGTAGGTGGGGCTGAGATAGCTCTTTCGAGAACTGCCTTTGAGAGAACAGCTCTGAAAGAAATTGTGACTAACCCAAACAGGGACTGACATTTTGACTGACAATCTGCTTGCACCCCAGCTCCCCCACCACCCAGAGACCCCACTGCCCAGCCTGCCCCCCCCAAACTAGCATCCAGCAGAGTGTGTGAGTGGCAGCCTTCAAGAAGAGGCTGGATGAATATTTGTCAGGGATACTTTAGGCTGGTCCTGCATTGGGCAGGGGGTTGTCTGTTATAGCTGGGGAGGGTGTCTGTTGTAGCTGAATACAATGGAAGTCCAGTGCCACCATGAACCCCAGCCTGAGACGCCCATGAATTAGACCATTCCCTCTGATGTGTGCAGACAAAATAGTTCGGGGAGAACCTATGGATAATTTATAGAGGTGAGACCATTATTAGGCCTTTCTACGCTGTGCTCTGTTATGGAGGAGCATTGTTTTAGCTGATTTTAATTTATTTTAGCTTTCATCTCAAATACTTTTCTTCTTGTTTTTAACCTTCTTCAATCATTTTGCTCCTTACCTTTTGAGAAACAATGCAATATAATTGCCCGATTTCAGAATTTACAGCATACACTACTACAAATTAACCAGGATCAAAATCAGTCAAACAAACAAACAAAAGCTACCATTAGCAGCTTCACACAGGTCCCCTGATTACAATATGAACCAATCTTTTGATAATCCCCTAGATGCTATTTCCAATTCTTTGACTAGTAAGAAGCCATATGATCCAAGCCTGACAAGAGGAAAATTCCTGTTCCTCTTGTGCCAAAAATTGTGCCAAAAATTATAATCAACCTATAATCCCCTAGCTGCCAGCACTAGATACTTCAGTAGCTAAAAATTGACTAACCGTGATAAAACTAAGCTTGTTTTATTTCAACTAATTTGAACATTGGATCCTGCAATCTCTTGGTGGCAGACGATTTGATCATTGCCTTTCCATTAAAGTTGGATGATGCAACAGTTATCCTTTCATCTGTCTACATTTCTCCATCTACCCCTAGTTTAATGAATTTGGGGGAATTTGTCTGGGGGAAATTGTTGATTACTTGCAGGGCCATTTTCCAGGGACCCCTTTAGTACCAGGGGGGGGTTAAGCACTAGCAGGTGATTTTAATGCAAGGATTGGCAGTGAGGATTATTCTCTCTTCTCAAAATCATTAGGCGCAGAAAATGACGATTTTCTTAGCCCTGCTTGGCATAGTAGAAAATCCAAGGATGATGTAACAAATAGAGGTGGTTTGGAGCTGGCTAAATTTGTGATCCAGAGAAAATTTATTCCATTGGATGGGTACTCAGAGGTCAATGGAGCTGGTGACTTCATTTACGTGCGTCCCAAAGGAGCCAGTGTAATAGATTATATCCTGGCCCCACTTGATTATCTCTCCCATTTTGAGTTTCTAAAGTTGGTGACTTTATGGGAAGTTACCATCTCCCAGTCTTCTATTCAATAGACATCTTTAGAACATTATTGTATTTCAAAACAAAGCTTCCCTCTTTCTCAAAATCAAAATCCAGTTAAATACAGTTCTAAGTAGTGACAAGGCTCAAACCGTAATGGGTTCTATCCCCTGTAAGACTTTAGTCAACAGGGTTTTGCAATCCCTCTATGCTGAAGATGGTCAGTTAGATGCTCTAAATTAGAATACCCACAAATTGACTTCAATGAAAGCCCTGGATGAGAAACTGATGATAGTTGGAATGTCAACTGATATTTTTGAGATGGGCAAATCCAAAGCACTGTCTCCTAGAAATCAACTACAGTAGCTTGATTCTGAGAGCCCACAGACTTTGCTCACCCCTATCTTTTGGTCTTTCTTTCAAAAAATCAATACCCCCCTAAATCAATACACCCTATATCTACTATCTTACCACTCCACAATATTGCAGAGCTTTCTTGTTTGCAAGATTGAATATTATATCCACAAGTGTTTTACATGGGAGATTTTTTAATAGACACTATTCTGACAGGAATTTGCCCTTGTGGCCTTAATAGATCTGCTTGAGTGTAGGTTCTTTGAAAATATAAGGGATCATTACATTAAGCCTTTAATTAATCAACTGTTCCCTTATACTCTAGAAACCCTGGCTTTTTTGCTTAACAATAAGGATCCTAAATTTACCTTGCAAAATATGTTCCAGTTGTTTTAGCCCTTGCACCAAAAAGATAAGAAATAAGTATTTTCCGCTGCTCAAGATTTATGAATCAATGAACTTTTAAGGGAATAAAAGGAAAGAGGGGGAAGTTGGGGCAGACTATGTGGGTAGGAGGTGTCAGGGACGACGTCCAAGCAAACCTGTCAGCTAGACCTCTCTCAAGCCCTGGCTGCCATGGGAGTGGGGTGACTATGGAATGTTAAGTTTCATTTTTGCTGAGTTTCTATTATCTCTGTATGACCTTCAGTGCCTGGTGTAGTCTTTCTCCTGGGAAAAGTAGCCCGTTAGTTTGGCAGGCTTCTACCTGATCCCTGATTGGCCCTGGGCCATCATGGGGCCTCCTTGAATAATGTATATCTGTTTGCTGTGCACGCTTTTCTCCAGTTCTAACACGAAATGGTTAAGATGTCTGCATACTCTCAAAGTCTCAATAGACTTCTTTGATTGCTGCAGGACACAGGCAGGGACACAGATTTTGAACACTCCAGACTTTATGAAAGGGCAGCAAAGACAGAGTAACAAGAGCCCCGGTCACACGGGCAGGAAAATGCAGGGGGGAAGTGTGGCTGTTTACCCCGCAGCAAAATAGCGCTCGGCTGTGCGATCAGATGTCCCGTCGAGGTCCCGTCAAGGTCCCGTGGTTAGGGGGGAGGTGCCGATCACAGGACAATCCTGCGGCATGGCAAAGAAGTGACCTCTCTACCAAAAGGCTCCACGGATTTAACCCCTTCCAGGGCTGTAGAGGAATGCAAACTGTGTCCTCCATCCGGTCCCCTCCAGGAGGAGCTTCAGCCGGGCCACCCTCCCACCACGCCCCCCTGCACCTCCCCCTCTGCCACCCGGTGCAGAGAGTTCCTCTGGAGCAGGCCGAGCCAGGAGTGGGGGGGTACGGAAAAGAGGAGGGGGCTGTGTTGTTTGTTTTTAAATGAAGTGTGTGCATGCGCCATTGGATGCTTGTGCACATCCCGTGGAGACTTGAAGAAAAAAAACCTTTTTGCGACGGGACATGGGCGGGCGCCGGATGCCACGACCTACCACCGGAAATGCGATCAGGCGCCCACCCTTGCCCCGCAGTTTCTGGAAACTCGGAGGTACTAGTTTTTTACCCCGCATCTTCAGC